GGACTTCTGCTTACAGGTAGGATGATGGTTGTGGCTATGACAACTCTTACAGAAAAAGGCTAAATTGACTGCAAAAACGCTAATCTGGGGCTGGAAGGCAGCTCCTCAGCAGAGCACTTGCCTGGCCTGCAGAGGGCCCTGGGCTCAATCCCAAGCACCAGATAAAATCATATCAGGACAATAGAGGGCCATAGAGATAATAGACAAAATGAACCACAACTCAGGGACGTGCACTCCTTGGTTAGCTCTGGTAGCTGCCTCTGCTCTCTGGAGGCATTGCTGACTCTGACAGCAGGTGAAGGACTACGGTGGCCTTGAATATCATTTATAGAATTGAAGCATAGAGGGCCATAGAGATAATAGACAAAATGAACCACAACTCAGGGACGTGCACGCCTTGGTTAGCTCTGGTAGCTGCCTCTGCTCTCTGGAGGCATTGCTGACTCTGACAGCAGGTGAAGGACTACGGTGGCCTTGAATATCATTTATAGAATTGAAGCAAAAACACAAGCACAGACAGGAGCAAAAGAGAACTCCAGAGCATAGAGTATCCTGTAAGACATCTAGCCTTGCCTCTTCAAAAAGTTAATTCCAAGAAGAAAAAAGACTAGATTGTTCCAGACGAAAGAGATGGAGAGCCAGGAGCAGTGGGGCACAACTGTAATCCCAGCTGCTCAGGAGGCTGAGTCAGGAGGATCACAAGCTCTTGGCCACCTGGGTAATCTAGAAAGATCCTATCTCAAAAAGGGTGAGGGATGCAGCCCAGTGCCAGGTACTGGATTCAAACCCCGGCAAGAAAGGAGGGGAAAGGGAAAAGGGAGGGAGGCAAGGGAAAGAAAGGAAAGGGGGAGAGAAAAAAGAAAAGGAAAGAGAAGACAGGGCCGAGGATTTAGCTCAGTGGTTCCGCTGCCTGCCTCGCAAGCATGAGGACCGGAGTTCGATCCCCGGTACCAAAAAGAACCAAAAAAACAAAAGACAGGTTTTAAATGCAATGTGTAGAATTTCACTGGAGCCAGTTTTTAAAATGTTGTATCTATCACGTAAAGGTACAAGATCCCAATGATAAATGTAACTGTACTGTTTACTTTAAATGTACCAATAAATTTAATGGGGAAAAAATAAATAAAATGTATCTGAAAACATCATATTGTATACTATAAATACATATAATTTTATTTGCTAATTATATCTAAATAAAGTAGGAAAACTTAAATTTAATAAACTTAAAATTTCATAAATTAAACTGGGGAAAATAAGAAATAATAATGTTACAGGGCCAGGGATTTAGCTCAGTGGTTCTGCCGCCTGCCTCGCAAGCTCAAGGTCCTGAGTTCAATCCCCGATAACAAAAATAATAATAATAAAAATGCTATAAAAAGGCATTTAAGGGCCGGGGATGTAGCTCAGCAGCACAGCGCCTGCCTGGCAAGCATGAGATCATGAGTTTGATCTCCGGTACAAAAAAAAAGCCATTTAAATTAAGAACATTTCAGGATGGATTCATTTTGGGTGATACTGGGAATTAGTTGTGACAGTTCTATTGTGATTTTGTAAGGGCATATGTGAGATGTGTAGGACTGAATGGTTATAATGTCTGAAACTTGCTTTCCAATGGTTAAGAAAAGAAAAAGTTAAGTAGACAGTGCCAAGGATGTAGCTCAGCCTCCACGCAAAGAAAAGAACAGAAAAAATGCCTATAATGCCAGCACTTGGGAGGCTGAGGCAAGAGGATCACTACAAGTTTGAAGTCAGCCTGAGCTACATAGCAAGACTCTGTCTCAAAAAACGAAATAAAATAATAAATTTTAAAAGAAACAAAGCTGACAAAAAATATAGATGGTTGTGTAAGATAGGAAGAGATTTAATAAGAAATATTGTGAAACATCAGAATTTGTTTACTGTGTTGAGTATTTGGGTATTCAGTGTCCTTTTTATATAGATGGTTGTGTAAAATAGGAAGAGATTTAATAAATATTGTGAAACATCAGAATTTGTTTACTGTGTTGAGTATTTGGGTATTCAGTGTCCTTTTTCTCTGTGTTAGACAATTTTCAGAATAAAACACTGGAATTTCCATGCTCTTCTCACTGATACATAATAACAGAAGGCAAGCAGGGTGTGGTGGTGCACGCCTGTAATCCCAGCACTCAGGAGGCTGAGGCAGGAGGATCACTGTGAGTTCCAGACCAGCCTGGGCTACATAGAGAGTTCCAGGTCAGTCTCAACTACATCGTGAGACCCTGTTTCAAAAAACAAAAAACAAAACAAAACATAGTAACAGAAGGCACTCCGGCTGCGGCTGGCTGATGTTATTTCTTTGTTCTTCGGCGATTACACAGCGTTCTCACTTATGACATTTCCAAAGGCCTATGATGAATGTCATCATATTGCATGCCTAAAATGTACCAATGAACTTCATGAATTTAAAAAGGCATATTAAGAAATATGTCGGGCCAGGGATATAGCTCAGTGGCACCGCAACTGCTTTGCAAGCACAAGGCCCTGAGTTCCACCCCAGGTACCAAAACATGAGAAATATGTCCAAACCAATGCTTCTCTATTCAAGTTCGACTTTAACATCCTGTCGACATCTGGAGTTGTAAAAACTAAAACTCTGACCCTTGCTGCCAACCCGAGAACCGCAAAGCCGGGCCTGCGGAAGCACAGGCCACGGGGGCCCTGCAGTGCCGCGCCGCGCCGCC